TCTTTTGGTGTGTTCCTGGATGTTAGATCCCTTTGCTCATTACTTTCACAGGTCAGGTTCTCTCGACCAGGACCTGAAGGCCTGGAGAGGTCCCCTGTCCGTGGGTCTGGGCTAAGGGTTCCCCTGTCTCCTCTGCCCCAGTGCTGCCTTAGGAGGGGGAGTGGACGGGGAGGCCCGCACCTCCCTCTTCTTGTCTGTTATTGACTGTCGTCTCAGGTGACTCTAGTTTGCTGTGTGGACGGTGCAGATGATAAAATTTGCCTCTCACCTGTCCCCACAGAAAGTTGAATGAGGACATGTTCTTAGGTCCTTAGAAATTACTACTTGTAAACATTGAGTTGTTTTGCTGACCCTACATATCTGTTCTGCTGGGCAAACAAGGCCAGATATCCTGTTCCAATCTATTCTGGCCCTGACTGACCACAGACTCCCTCTTCTCTGTTCCCTTCCAGAAGTCAAATAAAAGGGGCTCCTTCCACCAAAGGCTGTGCCTTCAGGCCTGGCAGTTCCCCGCGCTGATTTCCCCAGCGCTCTGTTCCATCTTCTCTTCTGTTGACCATTTTCCAGTACTCGCAGTGGGTTGAGTACACTAAGTAGCTATTCATGGAGGCCCTAGCAAAGACACTCCCGAGTGCTTCAGTGTAGACACATAGCGTGGCCCCGTAAGGCAGAATGTGCTCTGGGCCAGGAGCGGGAGATGTGGGTAGGTTGTGGATATAGCCTAGATGTAGTCTGGTCATGGCACAGTTGAGGAAAGGCGGGTCCACTGCAGCCAGGTGGCCCGCACTAACACAGAGACCAGCACGGAGTCGGGCTCAACTGGTCAGTGGACTCCAGCTCGCCAGGCCCCTGACCCTTGGGGCTGATGGTTCCACTGACCAGCTTACATGGCTCCTTCCTCTTTTCTTGAGCTAATTTGCTTTCTTAAGCTATATTTTTTATACTTAGCAGAAATGAGTCACATATTTTTGACTGCTTGTATGTTGGTTTTTCAATCCTAGGAGCCTCTGCCTTCTGACCAGAACAGCATTCATTCCACCCATCTATCTGCCTCACTAGGTCTTCTGGTCTTTAACCGGTTCCTTCTCTTCATCTCTTTTCTCTAGCTTGTAACATGTATATTGGTTAGTTATGAACCTGTACCCTGAGGTTTCTTCTTCTTTAGAAAATGTCATTGTTCTCATAAAGTGAATATAGATGTTAAGCTACTGTATGCAGAAGAGTCAAGTAGGATGCATTTAGAAAAGCTAGGAAATGCGAGGGAAAACTCGGACCTAGGTGCATGGTGTTTGAAGGAAGAAATCCTCCCTCACCCCCATTTTGCCTTGGGAGGGGAGTGCCAAAAACGAGACTCAGGGTCTGGTGGCAATGACACAAGGGTCCAGTTTCTGTTCAAGTTGCCTGCAGCCTCCCGCAGCCAGAGTGCAGTGCGGGAAGGCCTGGGAGTGAGTGGCCTCCCTGTGCATGAAGCTGTGTGGAGACCACTGTTACTTCTCAACTTACAGGCCGCCTGTTCTTCCCATTGTTTGGATGGTATTCTTCCTGAAGAGTGAACTAATTTGGGTTCCATCTCCTCCTGGCTTCAGATGTAATAACTATTTTTTAGAAAATATTTCTTTGCCTTCTTCCAAGAGGCTCACTCTGGCCTTTGGATTGCTAGTAGACGGTAATGTTGGGGTGGAGGGGGTATGTTGTAAATAGGCCATACTTTTAGAGAAATGGCAAAACTAGCAGGTGCCATTTCAATTCAATTTCGGTTGCTTTGGGAACATATCAATAGCAAGTATTCATTCTCTGTCAGCAGTAGGCTACATCTGGACAAAAAGGGGATTGGGTGTGGGTTTTCCATCTAACCGAGCAAGCAGATCAGCAAAGAATAATTAAAGATAATGGTGGAGGCTAACCTTGGTTAAGCATGCATCATTGGCCAGACACTGTATACTAAGGACTTTATACACATTATCCATTTTAATCCTTGAAACTCTGCGAGTGAAGCATTAGCATGCCCAGAGAGGCTATGAAAAGTGCACAATGTCACACAGCTCATGAGTGCTCCAGCCCAGGATCTGAACTCAGGGCTGTCTGACCATAATCACTGTGCCAGCTGCTCTCGCACAGATTTGGTACCAAGCAAGAGAAGCTCCCATCTTCCTGATGGAGGCGAAGCAGCAGGAATGCCCCGCCAGGTGTCCGTCGGAGCTGGTTGTTAGAAACCAGACAGTGCTACTACTCTGTTCATCACTTGTAATAGTATTTTGTCAGTTATTTTAAGGATGTTGTTTTCAAGTGTCCAGATTGCCTCAGAGGCCAACACAGCTACAGGCTTCTGCCCAGGCATGATTATTTGTCAACAATACTATTTGGAAAGGTTTCCATTCTATCATTTTGCTATACTCAGATTTAGAAAAACACAATTCAGTAAGGTGGTGTGATCAGCTACCCCTGAGTTTGGTTGCTGTGTATACCTTCAATGATTCGGATTTTTGAGTCATAATAAAAAGGGCCAGGATTATTAGCAAAGCCACTGAGGAGTTTGTTATCTTGCCATCGGAGGGTGAAGTGTTCTCTTCTTTGTCTACCCTTCCATTGGAAGTGGAACTGAGGGCGGTTTTCTTTCGTGGTATGTCTGTACCGCGGTTCTGTCTTACATTCTGCAGGGCATCACTTTCATAGCTGTGTGCAATAAAACCTCAGCTCAGAACAAGTTTCCGCTCCAGGACCAATGAAACGATAGAGAAAAAGTGGTCAGAATATTTGAGTAAGTGTCTTATCTTTTAACATACAAGTTTCTAAAGGAGACCTATGGCGCTTTTACATCTTTATGTCTCCCTGTGTATACTCATACATGGCTTTGCATTGTAGGTATTCGCTGAATTTTTGTCTTATCACTGTTAGTATATAATTAGAGCTTTATTTATTATCACCAAGCCATCTTTTAGAAGAACCCCCTTCAAAGTAAAACTTACATATTTAGATCTCTCCGAAGCTCCATGTTTTTTTTTTAAAACTAGGACAGGCAGACATTGTTTTCCTTGTTGGTAGATGAAGCACATAGTGCTTTCAGAACGTTGCTAGTGTCTTACGGACCTTGCTTTAAATAATTACTGTCTTTTTCTTACTAAGATTTTTACACAAATTCTTTGCAATTAAAGAAAATTTAGTACTAAGATTGGTAGAGATGTTCAGGTACTAAAGTATATCCTGATGTAGAAAGCTGTGATTTAGTGTTTTATTATTCTATCCAATTGTCTGAGGCACAGGAGATGTACTAACTAACCTGTATAATATCATTCTGAAGGAAATAATGACAACAATGGCTTCTGTTTATTGAATATTTACCATGTGCCAGACACTGTGTCAAGTACCTTTCATAGATTATCTCATTTAATTCTCAAAACAATTCTATAAGATAGGTGTTACTTTTTACCTATGCATAGATGAGCTCAAAGGTTTAACCACTTCTGCAAGGTTCACCGTGTCAGAGTCAGAATGTGAGCCCAGTTTTACCGAACTCCAAGGCCCATGTAATATTATAAAGAGAAATGAGCGTGTTCCCATAGTCATGCTCATGGATGTGACTCTTGGCTTCTGACGAGAGCAGACGTATTGGACCGTTTCCAGCCATTTTAATGGAAGGCATAGGTAAAATGCACACACAGTTCTTTCCGGTCCATGTGAAAAGCAGTAACATTAAAGAACGTGGGTGATAAGATTAGCAAATGCTCAGTGGAATGCTGTACCATCTGATCGTCACTGTAGAAAAGCTGGGGACCCAGGAGCCGAGCTGACACACGAAGACCTTGGGAAGGTGGTCTTTGCTAACGGGGCACTTCATTTCTTCACTGACCTTGCCATCCTGCTCCTGTCTCAGCCCTCCATTAAGCTGCCATTAGTCTGGGATTTATAAGGTGTCATTGGCCATGCAAGAGACAGCAGCAGAGGTGTGGCTGAAAAGCGGGACAATAAAGAATGGAAATGATTTTCATTTCTGTTCAAGTCAGTATGATAACAAAACCATAACTGACCCGGGGACAGAACAAGAACGTCCATCCAGCCAGGTGCATATAAATGATTCGTAACCTTTTCAGGAGGTACCTTTTCTCCGTTAGACCAAGATGCTCATGGTTTCTTCCTACCCATGGTTGGAACACGCAAACCCTAGGAAGTGATCAGCAGTAGTGATGTTGCAGTTTTCCAGAAGAGAATCTGTATCCCATTCTTCCTGTAGGTTTCTAAATAATAGAAGGCATTTCATAAGTGAGCATTTTTAAGGAACTAATAAGTTTTTGACTGAACCAAATGTGAAAATATTGTGTGGCAATGGACCACATGAATTAGGTAATTTTAGAGTGTTTTCTAGGCATTTTAAGTGTTACGAACTTTAATTGAATAGGTAGGATTATATTAGTTTGTGTTTAAGATATATAGTGCAGCTTTGGAATTCTTTTGTTAGGCTTCAATTAGTTTAAAAGAGTGGTATTCCTTTAGGGCTGAAGCTTATTTTAATTTCACAAATTTGAAAATAAAACTCAGACTTTTGACGTAATAAGGGAAGAAGCCCCTGGCATCTGCATTTTAAGTTATTGCTCTTATTCAGGACTAGTAACATCCTGGGTTGTGGCTATAATCTTAAAAAGCAGAGTTTAGGAAAATGTGTACACGTGCAAATTAATTTTCGGATTAGCTTTCTATTATTCAGCTAATGTGACGACACCTCTCAGTCCCAATTTACTTAGCAGTTGGGAAGAGTTGATTAGTGATTGAAGCTCGGAAAAAAGTCAGCCTGTTTCCTCAGTTCTCTGTGTTTTGAATGACCCGTGGGCTGGGCCAGATATTCTGGCCCAGAGATAAAGTTGATGAAAGTCAGAGCTGGGGCTTTCCTACCTGTGTACGTATCAGTCTCCCCCTAAGCCACAGTCTGCCTTTTGATAGCTCTAATAATTAATTTGGTCTTCTCTCTTCTTCCTCCCCCGCCCCACCTTCTCCCTGTCTGTTCACAGGTTATCTTGACGAATCAAATTACAACCCATCTGAGCAGAGCGCTAGCTTCTCAGGCAGACCTGGTGTCTCCAGCTGATGATTTGTCCCTGTCTGAAGGTAAGGGATCTGTCCTAGAGAGGCTGAAACTTGACACTGACATACGGCCCCACCACCTCTCTGCCCCCTGTTGGGAGCTGGGAGCCGCTACTAAGAGGCCCTGGCCAGTGAACCCAGCTGGAGCCTGGCGATTTAGGCTCGGCCACCTTTCCTGGCATCCGGTCCCTTATATTTGGAGAGTGTCATGCTCCGTCACTGTAAGTGAGCTTCCTTTTTCACCCGTGTCATCTTAATAGGCATCCATCACCTCCACCTTGAGGCTTATCACTCCCCTATAGGCTGTTTTGGGTTCTTAGTATGAGGGCCGGTGAACTGCTAACTGACGCTGTTTTTGAGACTGATGTTCAAAGGTTGGCTGTACCAGTGGTCTCTCAGCGAGTTAGCCCCTTTTCTGTGCTGGGTACTTTTAGACCAGTGTGATGTGCCAGTGGTGTGGCATTCCCTGTCAGCTTTACAGAAAGATGAAGGCAAGCAGTCCATGTTGGTAAATCTGCAAAATTTTCTCTATGCTCCTATGTTAGCAAAGGTCAGGCTGGCTATGGCTTACGTAGCTAGGGGAATTACACCACTGAGCCAGTGGGTGGTTTCTAGTTTAATTGAAAGTTCTTACTTGACATTTCTGAGTTCTGCTGGTTGTAATGTTTCAGGGTAGAGTGCCATGGGCCTACATATATGTGCATGGGTGCTCCGGGGCCCTCAGGGCTTCCCTCTTTCTGAGAACCGTTCCTGATGGAATACGTGGGACTTCCAGGCCTTCCAGGCCTCCCGCCTGCCCAGGTGGTCTTCCCGGGACCGGCCTCAGCTTACGGTCCTCAGGTTGCAAGGACTGCACCCCTGCTTCTCGGTGGTGTTTTTTCAGAGTGAAAACTAATTCCTCACCTGAAGCCATAGTACAAGGCACTCTGTGCCCTGTTTCCACATTCAGTGATGCGTTATCGCGCCCCCATCACCTGGACTGAATAACCCGAGTCCTTGAGTGTCCCTCCCGCTGTGCATTCCTTTCACCATCACGTCTCCGTGGCTCTTCTTTCCACACGTGTCTGGTGTCCCTTCTTCTTTTTGTAATGTGCACTGTGATCAGCTGACCCGTGAAACTCACAACGGGATTATTTTAATAAAATTCCAAAATGTCTTCCCAACTCTAGACTCAGCTGTTCCCATTCTGCCACCACCACGAGGACCTTGCCCGATCTGGCTTTCTTATGCCGTGCCATGCCCCTCCTAAGAAATCTCAGAGTTTTCCAGCGTGTTTTCCGAAAATGGGCTAAAATCAATAAGCTAATTTTAAAATAGTCAGGAATTAGTGATTCGTTCTCATGGACATCCGCGAATGCTAAGAATTGGAGTGTTTTCCCTTTTTTTGTCATGGATCTAGTAGTGTTTCCCAAACGCTACTAGATAAAGTCAATACTTCTTAACGCTTCGCAGCCCGGGCTTTCCCTCCTCTTCTCCGGTGTTCTCGCCATCACCGAGGCCGAAGCTCTGATGCCGAAGCTCCGATGCCCCGCATGCCGACCGGCCGCCTGCGGCCCCCACGCCTGCCCCCGTGCCTCTGCAGGGACAGCTCGCCGTGTCTAGAATAGCATTTCCCTCTTTCACTTCTACCTCTTCTTTTCTTCCCACTCCCACTCCTTTGAGGTTTGTGTCAAGACCACCTCTCCCACAAAACCTCCCTCCCTGCTCCAGCGGGCCTTGGTCTCAGTCTCTGTTCCTCATGTGTGGTCCCTCTGCTGCTCTGCTATAGAAAGAAAAGGTCTACAAAAATGAACTTAACTTTCCATGGTTTCCCAACTCAACTGGCAGATATTTTAAGGACACAGACTATCTTATGTTCTTTCTGTGTCTATGTTGTGCCGGACTAACAAAGTCCTAGGCACACAGTAGGCTGTAAATAAATGCTGAACGAATGCCGTAGTTAAGGCTTTGTAAGAACAGCAACCGTGAGAATCACACAGAACACCTATGAATATCATTAAAAATTGTTGTAGTTATTTCACATACCACACACACATATACAGTAATTCAGCTCTGTGAAGAAGAAAGTGTCTTGTTTCCTTATTTGAAAACCAGTAAGTAAGAGCGCTCTGCTCTGTCTGGGCTTCCCGGCTTGTCTCCAGCACAGGAGAGGGGTGAGACCATGCACACAGGACACTGCTTGGGGGCCCCAGTGTAGCCGCTCCCAGAAAACGGTAAAGTCGCGTTCGTGGCAAAGGCAGGGTGACCAGCTCACTCTTCGACAACTCTTTCCCTATTGTGAAATCCAAGGGAGAAGGGAAACAATTGATTTTTTTAAAATATCTTTTTCCTGCATAGCTGAACAGGCAATGAGGCTGTAGAAATATTTTTCCTGAAGTCTATAATGAAATTCCTTACCAGTGAATTAAAATGGACAAGTTTCTTAGAATATGTATACCTCTTCAAATATATGACAGTATTTGTTAGTATTACCATGATCGACGTGGATAAATTGCTTTGTCGCTGTGTCGGGGGCATTTGTGGCGTCAGCTTTGCCGTCATTTTGTCAGCTCTGAGATCCTGAGCGGGTCGTTCAGTCACTCGGCCCCAGGTTTTCCTGTTAAATGACAGGTTGGATGAACATACGACTGCTGAAGTTTTTCTCTAACGTGGTAAGATCATGATGTGGGTCCGAAGATCAGGAGCATTCACTATGTGATGGGGTTTTAAATTCTGACTTTTCAGAGTGGGAAGAATGACTTTGTTGTCCTAGATTAAACGTAACAGAAAGGATCTTCGGATATCTTAGCACTGATACCTTTGGCATGCCTCTAACAGTCTCTTCTCCCATGTTGCTCTCTCTCTCTATAAACACTTCTGGTCTTGTCCGTCTGCCTCTTGCTCTTTCTGCCTTTCTTCTACACAAGTGTGTGCACAAGAAGTGGATGCAAACCAGTGCAAGTGAGCAACACACCCTAACGAGTGAGCTCAAGGTCCACCCTGTCCTGTAACAGATTTGAGCTGCAGCGCAGAGGGCACAGCTTAAACGGCACTCCCTTGAAAACGGTGGTGGGGTGAGAACAAGGGGCTACCGAGCAGCCAGCGATGAAATGGTCCGAGTTGACCTGAGAGGACTACCCAGCAGGGGCTGACTCAGGGAAATGAAGTCCCTTCTGCTCTGACACAGAGCACGGAATACAAGTGACCTGGCCCAGCTGAGAGATCTCTTCCATTCCAGCGACCCTGTACTATTAATATCTGCCAGCTGCAGGCCTAGAGCGTCTGCCCGCTGAGATCAAAAGAACGCCTATCTTAGCTGGAGCAAGGTCATCTGTGCAGGGCTGTAAAAGCAAGTCCTGGCTGGCTCAGCGACCTCCTTAGGGGAGGAGAAGTCAGGACGTGGGGAGGTGCCCTCTCACGCTCCTTTAATCTCGGCTGACCAGCTGTTGCCCTCCCAGTGTTTGTAAAGTTGAGAGTCCTTTGTTTTAGTGTTGCTTGTTTTTCTCTTTTCTCCCTTACTAAATGTGTGGCTAGGTTGTCACTTGGATTATGTAGACCCATGTTCACTGCTTGGGTCTATGGGATGATTCCCTTCACTGAGGTTTGGAGCCTGTGTTGAACTACCCGGCTCCCAGGAGGGAGAGCCGCAGAGGGAGAAGTGGACCCCAGAGGCCAAGGACTTGCCCAGCATTGCTCCTGCTGCATAGCCTTGTGCCTTGAGAAGAAATGACAGGACAAAGGGAATTTTCCCCATTTCGTTAAAATACCTCCTCGTGCATGTGGTGCACTTGTCAATATTTAGCTTGCCTTTTCCAAATGTTATTTCATTCAGTGGGGAGAATGGAACTTGCAAGACTTGATGCAAATTGACCGAAGTTATTTTGTGAACCTAAGGGCAGAAATCAAGATTTTTTTTTAATAATCTACGTGGTTCTCGAGCAGGTACTGTGAGTCAAAGTATTTTCTTCTTCAGTTTTTTGTCTTGTTGATGGAAACTCCAGCATTTAGGGTGTTACAGAGTTCAGTGACTGGTCGTTGACTAATCTGACTAGTCTGACCAGAATCATGACTGTTCTGTGGCCAAGGCCATGTTCCTTAGATGCCCTTGCCGGTTCTTCCTGGTGCTCATCGAAGATACTAAGGATGATTGGGTCTCGGTCATAGGGAATACCCCTTTTGCCCATGGTGATCAGCAAGGAAAGGACTTAACAGTCCAGCTGGCCAAAGACACCCGATCTTATTCTGCAATCACCTGGGATTTGGACAGAAGGACTGAACCCCTTTTTAACCAGGCACAGTTGGTGGGCGAGGCTGAGGTATGACAACAGTGGGCCCCGTGTGAGACAGAAGTCTGCTCCCCCAAGACCATCAGCGTTGTTCCCTCTGGTGATTCGACAGGATAGCAGTTCCTTCGGTGTGGCGACGCGGCCGCTCCAGCTGCCCCAGAAGGCCTCATGGAAGGGAGGACCTCGGTAGGCTGCCACCCTGGCATCCCCAGCATCCGGCATGCCAGTATTCTTCCTGCAGTAATGGTTTTTGATAGATAACAGCACTTCAAAACTAAAAATGAAAAGTGCATGGATGGGTCAAGGAAAGAACATAAGGAAAAAAAAAAGCAGTACTTACTAGAACCAAGAGTGATTTCCAGTTTTCGTATTGGAAGGCTTTTTAGTTCGGTTGAATTGATGTGCAAGAGAAAGTATGTTAGGATTCATACTCCCTAAGAAACCATCCCTGCAAAAAGCTGGAGTCCATTTGAAAGATTATACGCAAGTGCGTGGCTTGTGTCTCTTCTAAAATAAATTCACCAAGCAACAACAGCCCAGAGTGGCTGGGGCGAATCAGGGACTCGTGGTTGTGAAAGAAGCGGACTTCAAAGCGTGGTATGAATTTTCAAGTTTTATTTCCACTCTTGCTTTCCAGCTGGATCTGCTCTGGATTTACTGCAGGATGTTTGAAAATGCGGCTCCCTGCTAATCTCAGACAGTTGCTATGATCAATGGTTTCTTTCATTTCCGATAAAAAACACTGGTGTTTCTGCTTAA